ACTGAACAAAATACTGCCTTTGCCTTTGGAAAGGAAAATCCATTGAGCAAGTTCAGCCAGCTCTCATTACAGGCTTCCTAAATGTATTCATGGAAAATTAAATATTCTCTTTAGATAGACAGATATGTGCATATCTGTGTCTCTAAAGTGGTTCCAGGCTCTCAGTTTGTAAACTAATGGACATAATTTGCTTTGCAGCACTACCTAGAGTGGCTCCAGGGTGTGATGTTATTATGGCCGTGGAAACTAAATGAAGAGCACATGGCTGACGTTTCCCAGCTTAGGTCTGTCTTCCCAAAGGAAGTGTGTAGAATGCCAACCATCTGGTTTATCCTATATTTCCTTCCCATTGGAGGTTTATCTCATCATTCCCAGGAGTGTAGGAAATCCTGTTGCAACACAGCCTCTTCTTGTCCACTGGACCTGTGCTGGAATCACAGAACAGAATTTTCCCAGCTGGAAGGGGCCCACATGGAACATCAAGTCCAATGGAGGGAGGGAAGTATTGGGTTTGGGGCCCTTGAGATGTGGCACTTTGCAAATGACAGAGAAACAGTGATGAACCCCATGCTGGGGGACATAAAGCAGGTAGCAGAGAGGAGAGGTGGGAGGAATGTCCCCCGACAGTTTTGAAGTTTAAGCAGAGTTCTGTAATATAGAAGTCCTTATGTTTGGGGGGTTTTGGGGGTTTTATTTATTTTGTTTGTTTGTTTGTTTGTTTGTTTGTTTTTTTGTTTTTGTTTTTTATCCCCTGTGTTTTGTACTGCTCTTCTAGAGTAGGGCAGTACCTTCAACTGGAGAATAACAAAATACTTATTATTACTTCATCTTCTAAAACCAGGTCTGCATCTTTCACGTGCTTTGGGATGACTGCTCAGATGCAGCAGTTTGTGGACTGAAAGAAGGAGGATGATGGAATTGAGATGAAAGGATTTAATCCATGGTGTTCAGCTGTCTGCAGTAAGGAAGAGGAGAAGCAATTATGAGCAATTGCAGTGCCTGACCAGTGCACAAAGCCAGTCCATATCCTAGGACCCACATTCTGTTCTGCTGACCTGTAGTTAGGTGTCAGATTCAAGAAGCTGGAGTCTGTTCTTTTTAGCAAAACACTGGACTTTCCATAGGAACATCCAGTACCTTGTATTTCTTCTGGGTGACAAAATGACAGCAGGATCTTGTATCAAGTTCCATATTCTCTTTCTCTGCAATTGAACTTGGTCCAGGCTCAATGTATGGATGCAGGAAGATGCAGGGGAGCAGGGAAGAGCTGTCTCCTGCTGCTGTCTCTTTCAAAAGAGAGCCTCAAAGCAGTAGATCCCACCACTTCCAGGATGTGCTTGGCACAAATGCAAGCATTTTGCTGCCTGCTCAGAATGCCAGTTTTCTCTTTTCTGTCTCTGAGTCTTGTGGTCCTGAAATGGAACACTTCCTTACAACCAACATGGAACATACCTGTAGCTCCAGTCATCTTCCTCCTAGGGAGCCAGGCTATGCTCATGGCATTTGTGTGCTGCAGTCTCACAGCCTTGCCAGCTCTTGGGCCCTGGAGGCTCTTTCCACGTTCCACAAATGGATGGAAAAGCAAAAAATTAAATATAGCTTTCTGATGCTATGTAAATAATTTTGATACTTAGTCTATGAGTTACAAGCATTTGTAAAAAACTTCAGCTTTTCTTTCCAGCAATCCTATCCATCTGAAAGCATGTGCATTTCAAAACAGGTCTTCTGTGTGGTAGCTACATTAAAAATTAAAACTAGTGTGTTCTGCCTTATCTAGCCTAGTTTTTTCCTATAAGTTCTTCAAACCAGGTAATAAAAAATGGTTTAGTTCTATTCAGTCAGGTTCAGTCAATTTTAAAAATCCTACTGCAGAGCTTCAGTGTTTCAGGCTGCATGATATCAAGAAATACTTTATTAGACAGGAGTGCTCTTTGGAACTTCAGTCATTGGAACGTTCTTCTCAGTCCTAGCTTTCAACAGCTTGTTTCTATGAGATGTAAACTTCTACCATTGGGATTTAGCATGCTTAATTTGTTCAGCATATGAACCACAGACACCAGCTCAGCCAGTAAGCACTTTTTCATTGTAATTTTTTCCACCTTCTTGAATCCTACTGCATTTTAGTCTTTAATTCCAGCTATTTTTTATTTTTAAACAAACAAACAAACAAACAAGCAGACAGACAGACAGAAAGCAGGCAAAACTGCATTTCCTTGTGGGGCACATTTAGAATGTATCTGTGTTATCAGAGTTGTGATCATGTGTCAGTTTCTACAAGAGAAAAGATCCAGCTTTTGCCTTTTGATCACATGGATTTACTTGAATGCTGCAGAGTAAATTTTCTTTCTGAGTCCCTCTAAAAAAACGAAATGCTGTCCTGTGAAGCTGGGTTAGCCCAGGCTTAGACACTAGGCTGCAGTCCACGGGATGGCCATAAAATCCAGGAATCACCAGGATGTGTTTCACAGCTGGAGCAGGGAGAGCCCTGCATCTTTATCTTTCCTTCTTCCTTCCTCTCCTTTTTCCTTTGTCCTGAGCCATGATGGTATTTCTTTGTCCCTCTCACTGTCCTTTTGCCTGAATGTCTGTATCTGCTGCTCAGTCCTTCTCCCTCCCTGTACTCTTCTCTTTATAACCCTCTGTCCTGCTGCCCATCCCTCTCCTCTTCCATCCCTCTGCTGTTTTCCCTGTTGTGGTCATTTTCTCTCTCTGTCCTTATTTCCCTCTTTGTGTCCCTCTGTCCTTCCTGTGTGTTTACCACTCTGTCTTTCTATTTGTCCTTCTCCATGCCTCACTCAATTTCCTTTTTATTCCCTGTTGCTCTGTCCTGCTCCCTGTGCCACTGTTTCTCACTAGATCCCTCTGTCCCGTTCTCTGTCCCTGCTCTTTATTAATCCCCTTCTGCCATGCTGCCCATCCCAGTTATTTATATTTCACCTCCATCCTACACTCTGTTCTTCCTTTTCTTCCCGTGTCCTCTCTGCTCCCACTCCCTCTTTCTGCCTCTCCTTGTCTGTCCCTGGTGCTCCCATCCCACTGCTGGATGGGTCAGTGAGCACACACTGGGATCCAGGAGGGTTGGAGTGTGAAAAACAGAGGCCTCTCTGAGTTCTTCAGAGACAGATCAAAATGCAGGGCTTGAATTAAAGCCTTTAGAGAAATTAAAATATATTAAGCCACTCAGACATGAAATAGAGGTGTAAGCTTTAGATTTAAGTAAGAATGTGTTTTAAGTGCCTTAAAGAGCAAAAGTCTTAGAATCTGGTGTAAAAAACAAGCTTCAAAAACAAGCTTCAGTGAGAGCTCAAAAACATAGTTCTAGAAATAATAGAAAGCAATATAGGAAGAATATTGCTTACATTCTTCAGATAGAGCAGATAGGCTATGTGCACAAGTTATGCATAAACTTTTGTATTATAGAACTAGAATTCTAATAGGTTTAGAGGAAATGCTTCAGATTCGTGTTTTTAGCTCATTGGGTAATTTGTAAATAAGAACCTGTGCACTGGGGAGGGATTCTCTCTCTCCCTCTCTCCTCACTGCCACCATCACTGCCTGGAAGAAGATTGGAGCTGCTGCTGCAACTTCTGCCTCTGCTCAGGACTCTGTACCAAACTGCAATTTCTGCCTCTGCTCAGGACTTTGTACCAAACTGCAGCTTTTGCTCCTAATTGGGACTCTATACCAGAAAGTTTTTAGCGTGGACTTTAACACTTGGGACTCCTTGTCTCTGAGACTGATGTCCTTCTACAAATAAACAACTTTACAGCAACCAACAACTGCTCTGCTCTTTTGAAGACCTAAACCCATGACAGTCTCGATACAGGAGAACTGCTGCCTGAGTGGGAGCATCCCGGGAGCATCGCAGGACACGCTGTCCCCAGGGCAGCCACCAACCTGTGACAATGAAACTGAGCTCCAGGTCCCTTCCAACCCAGGCCATTCCATGATCCATGGCATCACTGCACCATCTCCACGTGAATGGAGCAAAGTTTGTAAATATTGGGATGTTTTGATAAACTTGGGTTTTGTTGACATTTCTATTAATGATTGTTAAATGCGGAGAGGTAACAGGACAGATAGGAAAATGGAGTTTGTCCCCTCAGTTATTTTTATTTATTAGTTATGCTTATGTACATGTTTATCATGTTTATATAGATATGTGTATTATTATACATATGTTGTGTGTCTCACCTATAATCTCTATGAGTCTGCCAGGCTCTGGGGAGATTTACTTCCTCAGAAAATGATGATTCCAATGCATATCATGGTGGGCATTGGTGTCGTGTGGGGTGTTACTGAGTATTACCTGAATGGGTGCTTAAAGTGAGATACTTGCTCTTAAACCTTGTTAAAAGAGGGTCTAATTCTAGGAAGTAAAACTATTTATTTGTCCCACTTGGTGGTGCCCTTTGATTTAAGAAGAGTGAGGTTTTTTGTAGTACTGACTTAAATAAAATAATTGCAAACTATTGGCAAAATTTAGCTCCACTTAACAGACTTTTAGAGTTGCCATTTTTTGATTTGATCTCGTCCTCTCAAAGCAAATTCCATAACAAGTACACTAGCTGTTTTTACAGTATTGAACTTTTTTTCTTTGCTTCTGTAACCAGTAACATCTCCTGTACTATGCCCTGTGATGCTTGATATGGGCTGGTTTGTTTCTTTAAAAGAAAATATTTATGGCCATTTTTGTCCACAGCGTTTCTGCCTTTTACTAACATTTTGCAACTAATTAAACCCTAAATTCCTTCTTTTTTTGTGTCATAATTATTTTTTTCTACGTATAATTATCTTTGTTATGTGAAAATTCTGTTTCATGTTAAATCCCTCTTGCTCTTCATAATTATGTTTTTCATTTTCAGCCCACTTTTGGTGCCTTATTTTTATTTATTTTGATATGCTATTTGCCTCATTTCTTTTCGTATCAATACAATCTTGCTAAACCCGTCCAGAACCTACTGTATTATTGTGCTCGTGAAATTCTTCTGCGGGCAACGATGGACTCATTCTGTCAGTAAAACCTTATTCCTATAGAAAGCATTTGGAGCTGGCCACAAATCCAAAAGCTCAGCCCCAAAGCAAGAAGAGCTTTTCAGTGCCCAGCTGTGCCTTTGCCCACATCAGGGATGATTGAGGAGCACCAGCAGATGGGGCTGAGCTGCTGCAGTGAAGCGCTCCCAGCACACGGGAGGATCAGGAGAGCTGGGAAATGCCGCCGAGTGGGAGCGCCGGGTTAACTCCTGCTGTCTGCTGAACTTTGCAGGAGAGGAAGCGCCGCTGCAGGAGGAGCCAGGAGGCAGAGAAGAGGCACCGAGGGTTGTTGATGTGCAGCAGCTGGTGCCCGTGGGGGGTGTGTACCACATCGCTGCCCTGCAGCTGCCGCCACAGGCCCAGGACGTCGGGGACTGGAGCATGGTGGAGGTGAGGGAGGACAGGGATCAGCCCTGGCACCTCTGGGGAGCTGCTCCTGACGTTTGTCACTGCTGCCACATGCACTGGACACGACTTCCTGAGCAGCAAACTAACGAGGCAAGGTTTGCAAATCATCAGTTTTTCATATGTGAAAGGTGAAAGCAGGGTGGTACCAAAAATCACTGCTGGACCAGCTCCAGGCTCTTCAGGCTGGCTGAGGACTGTGGGCACTGTGCTCTGGTTTCCTCTGGTGCTGAGCTACTCCCCAGATTGCACTGTGAAGCTGGAAACCTTTAATAAGCAGAATTCCCAATAAGCCAGACTCGGAGAGCAGGACTGAGGGCAGGGGAAGAGCCCTGGCCTGTTCATCCCCAGCCCCCTGTGACCTCTCCTTCCCTCTGACACTGGGGACAGGGTGGAATTACAGCTGCTCCTGCCTCCCAGCTGCTCCTGCTTTCTGAGGCTGTGGCTCCGTTAGAAAGGGCTGTGCCACCCTGCCTTGAGGGTGCCTTCAGCAGCACAGGAAGGGTTCCAAGGTCTGGGGGTAGCTACTCCTCTATTGCCTTCAAAGTTGTAGTTGGAAATGTGCAACATTAGCAAACCCTTTTAAATGGTCCGTTAAAAAACTTAGCAGTGGTGAGATGAACTCAAGGAAAAAACCCTGCATTTTCTGATAAACCCTTTATCTGTCCTTTTCCTCTCTTGCCAAAGCTGCTGGATGTTGGATTGGAGCTCTATCCATATTCCCCAGGAGAGGCTGAAGATGGCACACAGGAAACAGTACAAATAACCCTGAAGCTTCCTGATAATGTGATTTATTTTAAAGTGCCTGTGGTAGCCCGATGGGAGCCTGCAGGTACGAACTTAGGACAGAAATGTATTTTAAAATTCAATAGTGGAATTTATACTTGAGTTGGACTGTTGTTACAATCCAGCTGTAAAGATAAGGGCCAGAAATAGTATGGGGACTTCAGTGTTAAAAAAACAACCTTAAAATCCCCAAATCGATTATTATTACTTTTTTGGTTTGTTTTATTTCAGCATTACTGGCAGAAGCCTTCCATGTACATCATTGTATCTTTCCATCCTCTTTGTCCAGGCCAGCAGTGGAGAACTGATGGCATCAGCAACATAACCTATGAAGCAGAAGAAAAGAGCATCTCCTTTAGGATGGGTGCCTTTAATACAGTAGCACTTCTCCAGGATGCTCACCTGAACCTGCCCTATCAGGCCTGGGAATTGCACCCTACTGGTGTGGATGAAGGACTCTTCACAGTTACTGCAGTCTTTGCAACCATTCAGATACAAATTAAGGTACTGTTAATTCTTTCAATCAAACATTTGCAGTTAAAAAACCTATCATTATTACAGTGTCCCTGATTAAGAATCTGGGATGCTTCCACAAGAGCAATTTGAGTGTCTCTTCCTTCCCAAGCACTGCACTGGTTATTTAATTTCAGTTATTTACTATGAGGAAGCATCTGTGCATTTGCTCTGGAA